CTTTATTATTAAATTTTTCTCCACTTTAGAATTGGCAAGTTTTTTATTTCTTCCTTGGTTTTCTTTGTCTATTAAAGGAAATTATTAGGATGAGCATTTGGCCTAATGGTTACAATGCCAGCCACTTGGGACACCCGCATCCCTTATCAGAGTGCCTGGGTTCAAGTCCCAGCTCTGCTCCCAACTCCAGCTTCCTGCCGATGTGCACCTCGGGAGGCAAGAGTGAAGGCTCAGGTGGTGGAGTCCCTGCCACTCATGTGGGCAACCAGGATGGAGTTCCTAGCTCCGGGCTTTAGCCCGGCCCAGTCCTAGCTGTGCAGGCATCTGGGGAGTGAAACAGCAAATGGGAGCTCTGTCCCTCAAGTAAGCAAGCAAAAAAATTTAAAGGAAGTTATTGACTACCTACAGCCTTGCATACGTACTGGCAAGACTACAGGATTCTTAATTCATCTGTTTTCTAGCCTATATTTAAGCTGAAACCCCAGGTAAGCATCAGAAACTGCCTTCTTTACTGATAATCACCCAGGAGGATTCAGAACGGAGCAGCCAGGACCACGTGTGTTGAAGACTTCTATTGTAGGCGTGTGGGCAGGGACATCCTGAGTCCACACTTAGTGGTCCCACAGTGGGGAGCCACAAAGCGTTTCTTAGAGCCCCGTTTCCGTTGTATTAAATTCTACTTGTCTGATTTGTTTGAATGTGTTTCTTAATAGGACTCTAATATCACGTGGGTTACCTTGGAGATTTTACACACACACACACACACATAGAGTGAGTGGCAGTCGTAGTGCTAACTCTGATCTTGCACGTCTGGAGATTCTTCCTGGAAAGGTGTGTTCGTGTTTAGGTCACGAAAATACTCCACACGAGCTCAGGTAGGAGCTATGCAGGTAGGACTTGAGATGTGTTTCTGGTTGTGGATGTGGTGCTTTGTGGTGGGGGTGTTGTGGGGGGTAGAATGGCGATTGGGGGACATGATGGTATTTTTCAGGAGTCATTCCAGATGTATTTTCCAAAAGCAAAGACTGACGCAGAGCCCCATCCCAATGCCAGCAATTGGAGGAATTCATGTCACCGCTGAGAGAGAGCCAGCATGTTACTGACATTTTGTGTTTATTAATAAGAGAAAAAGGATTCTGCTTTCTCACCCGCAATGCTTTGAAGACTTTAGAGAAGTGCAGAGAGAGCCTGGAGGGAATTTGTGACATCTTGTTCAGAGACGAATTGAGCCTATTTCTTTTTAAAATATTGTGCCTCATTTCCTTTTAACTGTGTCCAACACGGGTGCGCCTCGTTACACTGCAACCCAGTCTGTGCAAATGAGAACCAACATTCCTTATACATAAATCATGGGAAAATCTGACATGAACACTTGCTAACTATTTTTGTAATCTTCGGGCTGTTTTCTTTTGTCGTGCATTTCAGCAAACGTGCCCTCAGCCTGCAGCCTTCAAGTCAGTGGGGATGGGTTCTTCCTTGTTTTTGTTCACTTCCTTTGTGGATTTTCAGTGTCATGGCCATGAACTTGTTAAGACAGGAGCTGGACAGACAATGGCTTCCGTCAGCCCTGGTTGCAGGTAGATTACGTGCTGTGGTCAGGAGCTGTGGATCCTAATGTATTTAGAATTGCATGTCTGGTATATCAGTCATATAAAAAAATATTTAGACTTAGATCAACTTTTTAGTAAGGTGATCCAGCTCAGGCCATATCGCATGAGTTTCATGCTTCTCCAGGATTCCCACATTTTCATTATGAAGTTCCAAGGTTAAAAAAGAAAACCTCTTGAGATGCCACTTGGGTCGGTCAGGCCCAACACACATTTCTCGTGGTGCCCACGATACGAGAGCAGATAGGCAGCAGTCCCAGGGAACAAAGCTTATTCCCCTCTGCTGTGTTCCCTGTGACATTAGAGAAATGGGATCTAGATACAGCCCAGTGAATTTAGAAAGACAGATAGGAATAATGGTGAAGCCAGCCAGCTTGCCTTGCATTTAGGATAAGTGGAGTGAAATGCGAGAGAGAGAAAGTTGGAATGAAAGATTGGGTCAGAATTTGGGAGGGCCCTGAATTTCTCCCCTGCATAGTTGGACTTTATTTTGTACATCATTTGTTCAAAAGTTTTGCATATAGAATTCCATGTAGTGATGTGTTCACTTCAAATAGCTAAATGTATTATTTCTGGCCGGATCTGATGCCTCTTCTATGGGCTGCAATTATGGACAAGTGGGAGTAGGTGCCAAAAGTTAGGAGAATTTAAAGAGAGAATCTTAAAATGGAGAAAAAGTATCATTTACAGCCATTCTTTTTTCTTTCTGCAACTGGAGAACAGATTGTCCTGACTTGCATTTTGTGGGGGGAACACTGTGGCCCACCCCTTGGGATGCAGAGGCTGAAAGAGCTCGGCTGGAAAGCCATGCTGCAGGCCTGGATGAGTCACTGCAGGTCCTTGCACAGAGGGGAGTGCTGTGAGCAGAGAGATGCTCTAAGAAGACTAATTTGGTAACCATGGGGGTGGGGGGCCCAGAGGTCAGCAAGCTGGGTGGGAGCTCCTGCAGCCATCTCTGGTAGAAACAGTGATTGCCACCTGGACTTAGCAGGTGGTGGTGAGAATCACAGGGAAAATGCTGGAAGCGGAGGCTTCAAGGGATACCTTAGGGGGATCCGCCTTATTTCCACTTTTCTCATTTCAGTCCTCAAGGGCATTTTGAAATTGGTTTACTGGAAAGATCCAACTAGAAGAAGTTGTCTGATACTATAGTGAATTTCCTAGAATTTTCCCAGGGCTTGGGGCTATGTTTTGTATATGAGTGCACTTGAAAATGTTTGTGGAAAAAGGAAACTAAAAGATAAACTTATTTTGGTGCAAAAAGTCTTGAAATCCAGGCATAATTTTTCATAACACACACTTTTTGTGAACTTGAAGATCTTTTTTTTTTTTTTTTTTGACAGGCAGAGTGGACAGTGAGAGAGAGAGACAGAGAGAAAGGTCTTCCTTTGCCATTGGTTCACCCTCCAGTGGCTGCCACATCCGGCATGCTGTGGCTAGCGCACCGCGCTGATCCGATGGCAGGAGCCAGGTGCTTCTCCTGGTCTCCCATGGGGTGCAGGGCCCAAGGACTTGGGCCATCCTCCACTGCACTCCCTGGCCATAGCAGAGAGCTGGCCTGGAAGAGGGGCAACCGGGACAGAATCCGGCACCCCGACCGGGACTAGAACCTGGTGTGCCGGCGCTGCAAGGCGGAGGATTAGCCTATTGAGCCACGGTGCCGGCTTGAAGCTCTCTTTCTTCAACTCCAGTTCAAGGCAACAGCCTACTGCCCTCCTGTCTCTAGTCTGTTCCTCTCATGATTGCTTCCCTTACAAACTTAGGGTTTTTATATGAATACAACCTCATGATATTACCTTTGGCAGATTCAAATTATATACCTTTTCCATTTCTAAAGATGCTGTTCTGAATCTTTATTCTTTTTTAAAGATGTAACTTTCTCTACAAGCTTGTGCTCATTGTTTGCATTTGTTTCCATTGCATCTAAAAAGAGACCTGTAAGAAGAAACTTTCCCAACTTTATTTTCAGTCCTCGGGGTTCTTGACTGGTTTTTGTTTGTTTGTTTGAACTTCCCTGTGTTGGAACTAGGCCATTCCGTTCCAGTTCCTGTCGCTCAAGGCCTCCTGATGACATGCTGGCCCTGAGAGACCTTGGCTGTCCCATCAGAACGTTCCAGCTACAGCAAATGAAAACCCAAGCAGAAGAGGTCACATAAAGAAATCTGCAAGTGGGGTGTTCCAGAGATGTCTACCTCAGTGGTTTGACAGTGTCTCCAGGGAGCCAGTTTCCTGTCTTTTCTCCCTGCCATCCACAGCTAGTTACCCACTCCTACTCCCGCCTCCATCTCCACCCCCTACCCCCCATCCCCAAACTTTCTATGGAGTCTTATTGGCCAGGCTTGTATTCTACAACTTTGTCTAAGCCAATCAATAGCAAGGGGAATGGAACTGCCTGTGGGCTTAGAACTGTCCAGATTGAGTGCCTAGGGCAGGGAGGTGCCCAGGCTCCTCTCAGGCACTTAGCTCCAGTAGCTGCACCAAATTGGAATTCTGTTAGCAAGGAGCTAGCACAGGGAGCGAGGCAACTGGACAGACAACTTCCAGAAGCTTCCATAGCTGCTGCCCCTGTCCTGAAAGACTTGATTATCTTGAATGACCAACTTTCTTCTTTGCATGTTCTCTGTGTCTTGGTTTCCTCCATTGGCTTTTCTTCAGTCTTCTGTACCCTGGCTGTCCAGATGTGCTCACCCCTCTCATCCCGCACCTGGCTGTCTGGGTGTGCGCACCCCTCTCATCCCGCACCTGGCTGTCCGGGTGTGCTCACCCCTCTCATCCCACACCTGGCTGTCTGGGTGTACTCACCCCTCTCATCCCGCTCCTGGCTGTCCGGGTGTGCGCACCCCTCTCATCCTGCACCTGGCTGTCCGGGTGTGCTCACTCCTCTCATTTCACCTTCTCTTGCTGAATGGCATGTCCTTAGCTTTCTTTATCATCTGGTCCCTCTGTGTTGAAAATTCTTAAATCTCTGTTTCCACCTTGCAAGCTCCATTTCCTTTCTTCTCATTTATTCTTGTGGTCTGCATCTTGCTTAACCACATCATTTACTATGGCAAATAATGTGGCTTCCCATGATGCACTTTTTCTCTAGTAACAGAATCCACCCTCCTCCCCCTTGCCGGGGCACATTAACTTCAAAACACAACACAACACAACGCAGCAGCAGCAAAGCCTCATTGCCCAGTTTCCCTTACATGCAGGTAACGGCTGTGTGGCTAAGATCTGGCCTGTGTGTGCTGTTAGGCGTGTTGTATGGGACTTCCAAGAAGACTAGTAGAAAATAAAGCTGTTCACTGGGGAGGCATAACCTTACAATTAAAAAAAAATTATTTTAATTGAGACATGTATCGGTTCATTCCCCAAATGCTTTCAGTGGCCAGGGCCAGAGCCAGGAAGCCCATGTGGGTGGCAGGGACCCACGTGGTGGAGCCTCTCCTGGTCTGCATGAGCAGGAAGCTGGAGTCGGGAGCTGGAGCTGGGATTCAACCCAGGCCCTCCGATGTGGGATGGGGCTGTCTTAACTGCCAGGCTCAATGACTCTTCCAAGGGGCTGTCCTTTTCCCCATCAGTGTTTCCTTCTTCTGGCCTTCAACTTGGAATGATGAGTAGAATTTAGAATCTGGTTTGGGCCCTGTGGTGATTCAGAAGATGGAAGCTAGGGTGGGAGAATGCTGGATCCTTTGCAACCATGGAATGCCTACCTCTGGAGTTTTACAGGGCCAGTGGCTTGGGTAGTTCAGGGTGCCCTAACAAAACGCCCTGAACTAGATAATTTGTACTCCCCTTCTGATCCAGCCTCCTGCCAACACACCTGGGAAGGCAGCAGGTGATGGCCCAAGTACTTGGGCCTCTGCCACCCAGACCAGGATGGAGTTCCTGGCTCCCAGAAGTGGCTGTTGTGGCCATGAACCGGTGGGAAGTGAACCAGTGGATGGAAGAGCTCTTTCTGCTGCTCTGCTATTGAGCAGGTAAATATTAAAACAGTAGAAAGGTATTTCTTTCAGTCCTGGAGGCTGAGAAGTATGAGATCAAGGCACCAGCAGATTTGATGCCTGGTGAGGGCTCTCTGCTCCATAGATGCCCACTCCATGTGTCCTCATGTGGCAGGAGGGCAAGACACATCTCTGGGGCCTCTCTCACATGGGATCAATCCCCTGCATGATGGGGTAGGGACCCCTCATGACCTAATCACCGCTCAAAGGCCCTTCCTTCTAATGCCGTTACCTTGGAGATGAGATTTCAACATAAGAATTTTAGGGGGTGACAGACATTGAGACTATCAAGTTAGCCTTCGTCCATTCATCACAGCTAACTGTAGTTCTAACATCAATTTCTGCTCTCATTATACAAGCTGCACCTGCCAGTTTTCCACTCTCTTCCTCACTGTCCTCAGCCAAGTTCATGGCTTGTACTTTGGAGATCTCTCCTGATCCTGGAAACGTAAGGTAAAACCAAAGCGGGAAAACAGCTTTGTTCACCTGAAATAGGTTGACCCTACCAAGAACATGGGCAAGGACATGTGAAATGTAAACTCCTGCCTCATTAATGGGGGGATGTAATTGAGAATAATCAGCTTAGAGAGTGATTAGGCCATAAGCAGATTGTTTTACGATGTTTCCTACATTACACCATGAGCCTGAAGTTCAATTTCGAGAAATATAGAAGTCCTGTGCACGTGTGTTGGGAGGTGTGTGTGCTTTGTCCTGCACCATGTTTGCCAGGGCAAAAAAATTGTAGACAACCTAAATGCCCATGAACAAGGTGAGTGATAATCGTGGTGTTCAATGAGCTGAATTCTCTAGGGTAACGAAAGAAGGAGGACTCCATGTATCCGGATGAGTAAATCCTGAGAGGGATGTTGTGGGTGGTATCTAGTGTGACGCCATTTGTATAGTTAACCATCCGAATAAAAATTGATTCATTGGTACCCTTCTCTGTTACTTCTGCTGCTACAGCCCCTGCCCACTGTCTTGTCTTTCACCTGTCTGCTAACAGCTCAGTCATCCATCCTCCTGTTCTGTTCTGTCCATTTCAGCTCACTTGTGACACTGCTGCCCGTCTAGTTCTCTGCTTAACCCTCTGGGTTTCCTACTACATGTAAGACACTGCAAGGCAGACTTGCTCCACAGGATCCAAGGTGTTGCAGCATCACTCCGGAAGCATTTTAACCTGTCCGTACCTGTTCTCCAGGAAGCTTTCAGAGTCCCTGGGCCTGTGGGCAGTGTCTGTGCCCCCCCCCCCCCCGGGACTCTCTCCTTCATGCCCACTCTCTCTTTTTCAACTGGCAAAAGCCCAAATAAATGCTTTCCAGGTCCAGAGACAGGTCTTCCTTTCTCCAGAATCTGTCCCCTCTCCCGTTCCTGGCCACGATTGGTCACAACCTCCTTAGACTCCAGAGCTTTATTTTCAGTGGTGGTTTATGAATTTGACTCATTGCATTAGTTTTCTAAGAAGCAGAGGGGTGTGAGAGAGAGACAGACAGACACATTGCATCTGCTGGTTCACTCCCCAGATGCCCATAGTGGCCGGGATTGGATCAGGGCTAAAGCCATGGGGTGGGAACTCAATCCAGGTCTCCCACGTAAGTGAGGGAAACCCAGCCACGTGAGCCATCACTGCTGCCTCCCAGGGGCTGCGTTAGCAGGAAGCTGCAGTCAGAAGTTGGAGGTGGTGTTGAATGCAGCGACTCCACTTTGGTACATCCGCGCCTTCACTTCCAAATACCCACCCCTGCATTGCGGCTGGGCCTTGTTCAGCACAGGGTCTGTGTCTCATGAGTTTCCTAAGTCCTGGAGGAGCTTTCCTGACTGTAGCACAGCATGGTTAGTAAAGGTTGTATTGGAAGCTACCCCGATCCGAAGCCAGGAGCCAGGAGCTTCCTCCGGGTCTCCCACGCGGGTGCAGGGGCCCAAGGACTTGGGCCATCTTCTACTGCTTTCCCAGGCCATAGCAGAGAGCTGGATGATAAGTGGAGCAGCCGGGACTTGAACCGGTGCCCATATGGGATGCTGGCACTGCAGGCAGTGGCTTTACCCACTGCACCACAGGGCTGGCCCCTGATGCTGTGTCTTTGAGTCAAGGACCTGCATCGTCATTAATGCTCATCACTGCGGCACGTGAAAGATGATAGCTTCTCCAGCCTCCGTCAATGGAGTCTTGCCTCTGTGAAGATCTGTGTTGCGTGTGCTGTGTTTGTGTAATATGTGAATAGAGACGTGTTGCCATGACCCATCCTGGAGTTTCTCAAATGAGGCCTGTACTCACTGGTGCGGGTTGGCTTTGCACATAAAGAACTGCTGTCCTTTGACCTTTTCCCCCATCACTTCCAGACTTTGACTCTTGGCTCCAGCCGAGAAAATGAACTCTGATTCCTGTTTTAGATATAGCACACATGCGTTCTCCAGAAGCTCCAAGTCCATGCCTTCCTTCTTTCAGACTTTGCTCTCCTCGTTTTATCTGCGGAGCTATTTACAGAACAAATGGATGTAAGGCTGACAAATCGCAGTATTTTCTACCCTTTCTATTTGTGGCACATGTAACACTGTGTGTATCCTGTATAGGCCTGTTTTACTCTATGCTTGCTTGAAATCCCAACACTTGATGGCAAAAATAGTGATGAACTCTTTGAGTTGCCCGTTGGTTTTCTCGTCTCATAACTGTACTCTTTAAACATCTGCTGCAGCAAATACTTGCCTCAACTGGAATATAAGACAAATTGTGGAAAGGCAAAATTTCTTTCTTTCTTACATAACAAGCACAAAATTCTGCTCAGATATAAGTCTTCTGGGGTTGGAAGCCTGATCAGAAATAGCGTGAATCACCTGTGCCCTGCAGTCTGAGGTCAGTCTAGTTCGGGTTTCACGCTGGCCCGTGACTGTCACATTGTGTCATTTTCTGGGTGGTGGTGTTCTCGTGTTTTGCTTCCTTTTATTCATAAATGCCAGATCCTGTTATGCACATGGGATTATTTCGTACATTTTGGGAGAGCACGTGTGGTGGGTGTGGCTTTTTTCCCTTCAGGAATCTCTTTTTTGGTTCTTTCTCCTCTAGGACAGTGGTATGAGTGGTGAGGCCTCCTCATGGCTCTCCTACCTGACTGTGTTTCGGGGAGTGTCCGTGTGGTCTGGATGACCTGCCCCCGTGTGCACGTGTGTGGTTGGATGTCCCCGGCCTCTGTCTTCTCCACTCTAACCTTGAGCAGTCAAAGCCCCAGTCAGCGGAGCCCCACGTCTGCAGCGCCTGCTGGCTCGGCCGTGACTGCTCCGTGAATCATCGCTGCCCTTATTAAACTATTTTGGGTGGCAGCCTTTCCATTCTCCTGCCACGAACCGTGAACCGTGAAGCTGAGAGCAGCCGCAGCTGCCGTAGCCTCAGGTCCAGGGTGGAATCGGAGAAAGGAGCTGCGATGCTTCAGTGGTTTGTAGCAGGGCAGCCTGCATCACAGACCCAGACGGGTGCCTCCTGGGGCCACTTTGAGGCTTGAAGGTTTTCTTTTGTTTTAAAAAGCGAGCTCAGAAATACCATCCTTGACTGTAGCATTTCCGGTGCTTGACTGTAAGGCACATTGATGATTCCCCACGTCTTGTCCGTTCTGCCTGCTGTAACAAAATGCCGTGCATGGTGTGGCTGGCTTTATTAGCGGAAATGTCTCTCTCATAGTTCTCAAGGCTGCAAAGTTGAAGATCAAGGCCCTGGCAAATTTGGCGTCGACAGAGAGAGCTCGCCTTCCCACTGTGACCTACCAGAGGAAGGTCAAGGGTGCCTGTCTTGCTTGTGAACTGTGCCTTCATAGCCCAGTTGCAGCTCAGTGCCATTGGATCAGTGATGAAGTTTCGACACCTGGATTTGGGGTTCACCTTTAGACCGTAGCACCTCCCCCCTTTCCCTGCATATGCAGGGTCCCCGCCTGTGTTGGTGGTGGTCTCCCAGCCAGAGTCCCACCATCTGTGAGTCTTGACCAGGAGAGATAGCACAGTGCAGTGGATCAGTGGCCTGGGCTCAAACAGGCCTGTGTGCAAATTCCAACGATGGTGGGCAAATGACATAACTTCTGTAAGCCTCAGCTGCCAAAGCTTTAATTGATTGATTTGAGAGAGAAAGGTTGAGAAGGAGCCTCTTTCTACTGGCCCTCCAGGAGGCCCAGGCCAGGAGCCAAGAGCTCAATGCAGGTCTCCCTTGTGATTGACAAGGACCAAGTGACCTGAGCCATCACCACTACCTCCCAGGGTCTGCATTGACAGGAAGCTGGAGTCAGGAACTGGAGGCAGGCATTGAACTTAGATGCTCTGATGTAGGACACCTGCTCCTGCCATAGCTGCCTGAGCTGGGAGACGTCCAGCTCACAGGCCGGATAAGGCCAGCGGAATCATTTGGTCAAGGCAACCGCAGGTGGGATGTGAAATTCAGTAGGTCTACAGCAGGCTAGTGATTTTTTTTAAGATTTTATTTATTTACTTATTTGAGAGGTAGAGTTATGGACAGAGAGAGAGAGAGAGACACAGAGAAATGTCTTCTACCTACTGGTTCATTCCCTAGATGGCCACAATGCCTGGAGTTGGGCCAATCCGAAGCCAAGAGCCAGGAGCTTCTTCCAGGTCTCCCACGTGGCTGCAGGAGCCCAAGCACATAGGCCATCTTACAGTGCCTTCCCAGGCCATAAGCAGAGAGCTGGATCGGAAGTGGAACAGCCAGGACTTGAACCTGCGCTGATTGGGGATGCTGGTGCTACAGGCAGAGGCTTAATTCACTACATCACCACTACAGCCCCAGTAGGCTAGTTTTTAAATCAATTATTTTTACGATGTGCAAATGACGTTACAAATATCCAAGTGGCCCTTGGCAGAAAACAATTTGCCATCACTGCAAGTTTAAACTGAAATCTGTGCCTCACCTCCCAGAGGGTGCAAAGGTTAATCATGACTAATGGGAACTCACCTGCTGGTCAGAACTAGGCTGCAGAGCGAGTCCT